AAACCACCGACCGATCGGAGGGGAAAACTCCATGTCGTTGTACAACGGACAGATCGCTTCCGCGGGCCTGACGTGGCAACAGCGGTCCGCTAATTAACTCCGGAAGGCACTAATCTTATTTGTTGAGAAACGAATAACGGGCCGGCGTTTCTAATCGGGAGCATGACTCGTCGCCGTTCTCGTCGTCGACGTCGTCGTCGTCGGCCGATTAATGACAGGAGAAGTCCGGACACACAGTAGACGGCGCGGACTGAGGGGGGCTAGAATCGTGGCAGGGTGCGGAGGAGAGAGAGGGCGGGAGAAGAGACCGCTCCGTGGAACTGGTTCCGTTCCATGGATCACTGGAAACAATCATCCTTATTAAACTCACCACCGGCCCACCCCGCGGATATAAAGGCATCCTTCGGAATGATTTACCGAGAAGCGCGTCGCAGCGGCCCTTTGAACAGGTGGATCCTTCGAAACGCGACGCGAACCGACGATAAATTTTATGGATCCACCGGTGCGGATAGATTGGGAACCCGCGCGCGCGCGACGGGGGTGGCCGACCGAGCGAGCGCGCGATTCTGCCGAGTCAGTCGTCGGAGGTGAATTCGGGAACGGACGAATCGACGGCGCCCGACTGCTCGAGTATAATTGCCAAGTGGGAAATCATCGTTCGCACTTTTGGCCGAGCTACTTGAGCTCTCCGTATTGTTCTCGGCGTTTCGCAGCGGCCTTGTGATCTTGGCCGACTTATTAATTTCGTTACGTTACCAACTGCAGTTCGAAGATGAGGAGATTGGAAATGGCGAGATGAACCTCGCGCGAAATTCTGCCGATTGCGTCGACGTTAAGGCACGGAGGAAATATTGTGGTAAAAATTACATTGTAACGCTGGACCGTATGAAATTATGATGTGTGTTGTAATCTTTAGTGAGATGTCTTCGGTTCTACATTTAGTCTATTTAGTTCTACATTGAATCTTCAAAGGTTTTCTATTGTGCTTCCTTTGATGCTACAAATGGGAAGTTATTTTCTCCGCTTGAAGACTTGATGTAAAATTGAAAATTTCCCCCCGGGAGATCTAAATTCCTTTTGTAACATCAAAGGAGGACTATTAATGCTTTTTTGATGCTATAAATTGGAAGTTACTTTCGTTTTCTTTACTTGAAAACTTAATGTAGAATTAAAATTTCGACTCGGGGTATTTCATTGTAGACACCATTAAAGATTACAACACAAATAATAATTTTAGTCTAATTCCGGTATGATCCAACATTACAAAATTTTGTGGTAATTTTTACTACAATATTTTATCTATGTAAGCAAGACAGAACGAGGGTCGCAAGATTAAACGCAGCGTGACGTATTTCCGGCCGTAACAGGCCGTAGGCTTCAATATGCAGGACGCACAGAAGTTGGAGAAATTCAACTTTCGCGTCGAAGCGATTAACCATGGTTGACTAGTCAGGACGTAACATTCTATTCTTTCATTGGCTCAGACAGAATATTCATTGCGTATCTATAGACATATGTAGACTACGTAGACGTAAAAATCTTGCGGCCAGTGTTCATTTCTTGCCACCTTTGACTTGCGTTCTGCGTCCTACATTTTATGTAAATGGGCCTTTACCGTGAGAACCGATCGAAACGTGCAATATCGCGAGTAACCGCGCTGCAACACGCCGTACGTGTTAACGTTTACGAGGTTATTAATTAGCCGCGTCGTTCGCCAAAGTAAAAGTGAGTAGCCGAACGTTCGGAACGACGACGGAGAGTCGGTCGGTTTAAGCTCCCTTGGCTCCTGTTTCTCCGCTATCCCTTTCTTTTTATCCTCTCTCTCTCTCTCTCTCTCTCTCTCTGCCGGGGTTTACAGCCGGGATAAAAAATTAAAACCAACAGGGACACGCCGGGACTGGCGGGGACCGTTCGTGGTCGAACGATTAGTCCGGTCGGGCCCGCCGTCGTCGGTAGCAGCGCGGGCCCGAGCTGCAACACTCTAATCTAAATTAGATCTTAAGAGCCCGTAAAGGTAAGTGGCCACGCTCTCGCGAGGCTACACGCCGGGGCCGGCTTTAAGTGCCATATAAACAGAGCGAATCTGGTAATCCGCGCGCTCCCTCACAAATGCCATTTGGCCACTCGCGGCTCTCGCGCAAAAAGGCCCGCGCTTGTCTGTTATCGTGTTTGGCATTCCGCGAAATGCCTGCCGTCGACAGCCTGTCTGTGAATGAACTTTTTCCCCTCTATGGGACGGATCGCGGACTGTAGGAACACAGTAATAAGAGAGAAGAGAATTCAAAGTTGTGTGATTTCGCATTGTACACAGTTGAAAAGCTGTCCGCCGATATAAAATAAGAGGAAGAAATAAAAAGGACGGCCGAGAGAGCGAAATATATACGAGAACGGACATAATAAGAAAATGAAATAGAAATCGGGAGTCACGCGATTTATCGGGACAGGAGTGTCCGTAAAAATCGAGTGTGTCGAGGGCCCGTCGGAGAGCCGGTCCGACACTGCCTCCTCGGTGTGTTCCGCTGATTGAAAAATAAAGAACGAACGCGAGAGAAGAGAAACGTTTATCGACGTCCAATTGGACGTACACGGTCCGCCACGCGGGAACATGTGTCTTTTATTGGCGAATGAATTTTCATTCGCGATGTAACAGGAAGTCGAGGCCAGCCGCGCTAGGCGCAGACCCTGTCTCGTCGATATATATTTCGATAGGTCCCAATCGCACGCGTGCCCTTTACGTGTAAAGACGCCTAATGAATATGCATCGTGCTCCGCGACGCGGTTTACGCTGTCTCTCTCCCCCCTCCCCTTGTCTCTCTTATCCTCTCGTCGGGCTAGTCAATAAACTTAAGCGACCATAAAATCCAATTAGTGTGAAATTAATACACGGCGAAGTGGCGGAAGAAGCGGGGATCGATTTATATCGCGAGACGGTAAGAAAACGGCCGGGCAATTTTCCGCGGACAGGAAACGCGTACAAACGGACGGGGGGGGGAATAAATTAATGCGCACGACAAGCGTTATTAGAAGTCGATCGAGCCAATTACTGACTGTCCCCTCGAGGGGGGGAAAGCGGAACTTTCGCAAATTAGCAGGTGTCGGCACATATTATGAGAAAATCAACTGCCATTATGAAAACTGAAATAGTCGTGGTCGAACAGGTAGTGGAAGGTTTCCACTCCCTTCTCCTATTCCTCCCTCTCTACGAGCACTACTTATTAGGGATCACGGAAGGTCCTAGCAGGGTTGACAATATTTTCTTTTCGCTGAAAAAGGAAATCGCTTCGAAGGGACTAAGATACCTCGTGATTCCGTTAGATAAACCAAGGGTAAGCGTACTTCACTTGTTAAGGCTAGTTTGGTCGCGACTTCATGTATATATTTATATATATACTTCACGTATACACGTTCTCTCATATATGTGTGTGTGTGTCTCGTCTCGTATTTGCGAATACATCTCCGGCCCTGACCGTATACCACTCTACCTGCTGCAGCTTTCTCTCTCTCTCTCTCTCTGCTCTCTCTGCATACTCCCCACCACCTTCGTTAATTACGAGAACCCATACCGTGGCCGCAGGACCGGACCTATTACGAGCGATTACACCGCTATTAGTTACCTACCGGGTGTTCCACGGCACGGTGGAAGGCACTGAAAAAAGGACGAGAGGAAAGAAAAAGCTACCCAGATAGATTGCGCCGTGGCCCAATGGCGGCACGATACTGTATGTATGTAACTGGACCCGAGTGTGCAGGGGACTTAATAATGCAAAACCATCGTTCCGCGACTACGGATGGGAATTTGCATGAGGATCGTCAACCTGGCCAGATGATCGATGTATCATTCCGCAAATTTACACTCGCGGATACGTTCTCGCGCGCGATGGATCGACGGTGCGCGACTTGACTCTGCCGCGCGGATTAAAAAAAAGAAAAAAAAAGGAGAGAGAAGAGAGACGATCATCACGCAAAATTGATGTACTTAAGATCGGTTCTCCGGTGGCGTCCGACTTCTTTGAATTGATTTAAATTTCGTTTTCTCTTTTCTTCCCGCCGTTTTTTCCCCCGACGAAATGCGGAATCAACGGCAACACAATGTAACGAAACAAGCGGCAATCCCACCGGCAAGACATTATTGAGTAATTATTTTCTCATTAGGCGGTTCCGTTATTTCCCGCTTAATTTGGCGCGCCAGTTAACACGGACGCTTGTTTATTCGGACGCATGTGCGAAAGATAGACGGCGCACGTGGTTTGTTGCCAACCGTCATACAGTCATCACTATTTCGAGATAGTCCTCGCGTATACCTAGGATAACCAGATCTTCTTTACGACTGCGCTCAAGGACTACCTGTGCACCGATCGTAAACGTCCTAAGCGAGGACTGTTTTCGTAAAAGAATTCGTTGAGTAGCCGCGGACGATATCCGGGCGATAACTGCGAGAGTGCACGGGAGCCGGACGCTCAAATATTTTCGTGGCAGCCGATAGTCGCCCGGCGCGTGGTATCTAAATCCCGTTAACTCCGCCGTGCGCTAAAGCCCTAAAGCCTGAATAAATGCGGCTAGACACGGGAAGTACCTACGAGCTTTCTATATCGCTCGCGCCTGGGATATACCGTAAATTCTCTGCCCGGCCAAGATTGGACGCGCGCGGATAGAGAAGAACGATCCCCGTGGTCGAGTCTTCATTTTCGTTCGAACAACATCGTGTGGAACGCGAAGACAGTGAATCGATAACTGAATTAACGCTCCGAATAAAAATGTATCTAGTCGGCCTGAGTCAAAAAACGCATATATGCGTTTCATGAATTTCTTTGACTTATTATACTCTCGATACAAGCAACATTTATCCGTCGACTGACTCACAATAGTTTTTCCTTCAACGATCATTTAGTTGTGAAGTGCTCGGCATTCAAAGAGTTGAGTTACGCATAAAGCATAATTAATTTTCTGACAAGATTCCGCATTATATCAAACAGTCGCTTGCGAGCTGTCATTCGACTCACCTTGTGAATACGTCCGGGTAATGCGTCCTAGAGAAAGCTTTCTCGAGTTCCTCCAACTGGAAACTCGTGAAGGTTGTCCTGTAGCGACGTTGTTTTCTTTTCGGAGCAAAATCGTCTGCTTCGGCCTCGCTCTCGGGGCTGGTCGGCGCCGCTCTCGGATGACCGCCTTCTTCCTCAGGCCTCACCTCTTCCGTGGAGATGCCCATTTGGATGGACTGAGGCGTCGTCGTCGTCGATGCCGGCGTCGGTTGCTGGTGAGACTGCGGGTGAGGTTGCTGGCTCACCTGCTGGCTCACCTGAGTCACCTGGCTCGAGCTGCTCGTGCTGCTCGCAGGACTCGTCTGCGAGACGGCCTGCTCGCTGCCTCCTCGCGACGAATGATCTGCGCAGAGAGATAATCATGCCGAGTTACAAATGTAATCAGCCGTAGATTTAATTATGCGCGAATTAATTATATGCGCCGTGAACACAGAGGTCCTGCGAACACTGTCGAAGCGAGCGTCATCTCGGTCAGTTTAGATTTTTTTTATAGATTCAGTCTGTCGAGTTAATTATATAATGCCTTATGCATTTAAATGAGAATAATTTATACATTTTAATTTGCGACGGAATGAACACATACGTTGCGCTGCTCGTGAATCGTACAAAAAGTATCTTCTATATCGGAAATGTATTCATTCGTGTGTCAAAAATATTCGCACATGTCGTCGGATAACGTACACAGTAAAACACTTTGTATTAAAAAGGGCCCGCTAGAATTTTTATGTTATTTTAACAAGATGAATATGTGAAATTAGCATATATTTGTGTGCTTTTTAACGGATTCCTTATGTTTAATATAACACAAATGTCAGTGGACCGTTTCACGGAAAATGACGTCGCGAAGTTCGCCCAGCTGCACGGATTTATTTGCACTGAAAGGCACGCGATCTTCTATCTTAAACACATACCTTTAACGAGATGATTGGTTAACGCTAAACGTTTGTTAGGCTATCCGATATACGACTGAAACGTGGACAGAGGACGAGACGATTCATCAGCTGTCACGTGATCCGGCGACCGCACCGTATTATCAGCGACGATCAGTTTCTACGAATAGTCAGGGAAATCGTTGTGGTCTAGTTTCCGCTGCGAGCGGATTTTAAACGCCGCTCGTTGGACGCGCCGACCGTAAACCACCTCGGGATTTTGGATTTCCGCGTCTCAAATTTCCTCCTTCGTGGAAGGATTTACGAAGTGACTGACGTGTAATTAAGTTAACCGTTAAAGCGGCTGTTAGGGCGCGGTAAGAAACTTTACGTTTCTGTACAAAGGCTGATTTTACGCGAACATCGCTTCAACAACGCGTATCCGGCAACACTGATCGGTGCACACAGAAGAAACGTCGATACAATCGACATTATCATGATAGTCGTTATCGCATCGGAAATATTCCATTTCCGATAAATCCGGCTGATGCTGATAAATTTGACTAGTCTCGCGAAGCTATATTTGGTCGATTTTTAATTGATAGATCTTTATACGACATTTAATCTTATCTTCCATAATAACGACACGCTTATCTGGAATAAAATATTATGACTGGAGATAAGGAAGGTGTAAAAAAGCGAAAATAAATTCCAGTTTGTCTTGAACATAAGGCATAAAATGGTATCGGTACGGCGGACAAGAGACTGAAATGCATAAATGCAAATAATAATTATTCGCTATTGTGTAGCAGATAACGCGACGTATTAAAATAAAGCGTATTTTAAATGCAAATACCGACGTACGTGCGCGTATGCGAGGGCAGAGGTATCATTCCTTTCACTGCGACCTTGTCTAGTAGGAATTAATGATTTCTCCGAGCCCGCACCTTGACGCGATCACGATGCCGCCGTGGCGATCGTGTAACAGCGTTCGATATTGCTTGTAAGTTGTAACGGGATCGTTTGCGATGGATATTCGCAAGCCGGTGGCTCCGAGAGCCTGTATTACAAGCCACCGCTTGATAATTCCTCATCATCCTGCTCGCGATATTACCACGAAAACTCGACGAAGCGCGTAATTGAAGAAACAAATTCAACGGAGAATCGTACGGAAACATCCATCACCGATGAACTTCAGATGCGTAATATATATATTGAAAGAAAACGTCATAGAATTAACGAAATTTTGCTTTAAAAGATTGTAAGGCTCAGTATCGTATTTTCAATAGTACATCTCAAAGAAGCTATTCATAAATTTAGTATTTATCAAGCAAAATTACGTCACTATATATTTATTTCATTACCTAAATGTTAATTTGAAATATATATACGTACAATATTACAAACACAAAAATATTATTTTTATTTTTCTTGTTAATGTAGAGAAGAGATTGGAAATAAATATTAAAAATAGTACGCTAAGTTCAAGAAACACATATGAAAAATGTCAACTTGAATTACAAGTATCTCAGCTTTCGAATGGTCAATCTTACTTTAATTGCGCACGCAGTTGAATAATATTTTAATACAGTGCAAGTTTCATCGAATTCTTATCAAGCTCGTCTCACATTACAACCTCCTTAAACTAATAAAACTTATTCAAGCAAAACGTTAATTCGTTGAACAAATCGTACAGTTGTAATGAGTTATCAATTGATTCAAGGATCGTGATTTGGCGAGCAATTGTATCAACGCGACATGTTGCACCGACGCGTAATTTGTTCAGTGAATATTTTTTGAATGAGTGTTATCGCCGATTTCTTCGATCCAACCGTTTTTTTTCTCTATGTGAAACACGCGCAAATAAGAGACACGTATTTTTTCTACACGCTTTCTCGCCCGCTCTCTTACAAGTGTACCTTCTTTTTCACCGTCTCATCATACTCTACCTCTACTCTATATACCCTCGTGTGCGCATATACGCTTGATTCAATTTAGCTCAATTTAGATTCCGCGAGGAGCTTAATTCGCAACGGCTACGCGTATCCTCGTCACGTCCCGCGCATATCGGCGAAACGCGGGGCACTTACGCGCGTCGATATATACGCATCGATATACGCGCTCGCTCGCTCGCGTATGCGTGGTCTTTAAAGAAAACGGCGGCTGATCGAGCAAATTTCTAGAAGCGAGCCCACGCACGGGCGATTCAACGCAGGATGCGGGGGTTTAAAATGGGCCCAGCGCAGCGGGGGGGGAGGGGGAGGATCCAAGTGGTTTACGCGGTTCTTAAGCGGCAGTTTTTAATCGAGTCGATTTATCGGAAATGGGCTTATAATGCAGGTAGCCCCGGCGTAATGCCGATAATATACAAGAGACCTAAATCCCTGGTGTCGAATTGTCCTCTTTGTTCACGCACACGCACGGCGCGGCAACAACTACGAGTGCATCGACGCGCAAAGAGAGCGAGAGAAGAGAACGACGGATAGAAAGGGTGAGAGAAAAACAGAGAAGGAGAGAGAAAGAGAAGAGAGGACGCGTAGGTAGCCTTTTACATTATAATGGCATTAATAGGGCCCGAGGCCGCACTTAGCGTTCGCCCGCTTCAGCCAGCTCGCCTCGTCGTTATTAACTGAAAATTACCGAAACCGAAATCTAATTCGCGTAAACACTATAATTTCACCGCGTGCCGTGGAGCCGGGAGTCGAGTTCTCTTTCTCTCTCTCTTTCTTTCTCTTTCCGAAAGCTCGTTCTCATACTCTCCATGTACGATAAGACACGTGGAAATTCTTCGGCTCAATCGAGCGTACGAGTATATCCGCGAGATCACGCACCTGTTTCAAGACTCGGCGAGTAGCAGTCGTCCGTGACGACTTTTTGATTCCTCGATTTTCACAGGCCGAGCTCGTCTTGCGGCGGCGCGCACAGATAACGAAACGAACCGCGAGTTCCACGCAGCTCTCTCAGCTGATGAGGACCTGCTGAATCTCGACACATTTTAGGTCCGCCGATAAGGACGGAGAGAGCGTCCGACAGTAGCTTCACGTTGTTCAATTCACGTACTCGTCCATTCTGCATTGCGGAAATTTCTCGCGCGATATCGCAGCGATGAGAAGCACAGTGCCGCGCGGTAATGTCAATTACACGGTGCGGTAATTTTGATTGACGGCATAACCGTTCCTGCGACGACAATATGCAAATGAAGGCACGGGGGGGGGGCGCAAATGTTTAATTAACACACATTCATAAATGTCAAGTAGCGAAATCGCTCTCTCCCACCACGGTTATCACGGATTGCCGGGCGGTACACCGGCGGTGAGACCGGCAGTCGCGCCTTAGCCCGTCTAATGGACGATAGCTGGTTTATGTTGTCGCGAGTGCGCGTCGCAATAAACATCGGCCGCCGTTGCCGGTGTTTCAGCGCGATTCCATCCGCGAGGCGAACGGCAAAAGCCAACCCAACCTGTGCAGCACCACGTCGCGATGTTACTTAATTCAACGCGAGTTCGATCTCGCGAACGCCCATTTATTTCTCACCGTCGGCCGTTACGCGCGCCTTGACAATATCATGAATGTTCAATTAGATACGTCGCGCTCGATTAGAAACGATAGAGCGGATTGCGACGGCCGCAGTTGGTGATTAATCTCGGCTACGCGAGAATATTACTTTGTTAATACGACCAGCAAAATTGTGTATTATATTGGTTTACGTCGTGTTTCTTTATTTATTATTATTTATTGTGCGTTCGTGCGAGCGTGTGCAGGATATTCTAGATCTGTTTTTCTCTTCTACAGCGCGATCGAAATTATCGACCGACGGGTCGTCGATATGGTTTACGAAGACCTAAAAATTAGAGCTGGAAATTATATTTTTGAAATTTCGACTTTTCGAAGTCTTTCAAATTTCTGAGCCTTCAATATATTATATTCGAGTAGAAAATAGTATTTACTGTTCTAATGAATCTAATTTTCTCTTGCATTGTGTTATGTTCATGTAACATATCACGGCAAAATTTGCGTTTATTTTAAAATAGAGTGAATGAGATTTGTTGTTTATTATTTGTGTTTTCTTCATTCGCTTTATTTTAAATTAGACAAATACAAATTTCAGAATTGAAATAAAGATACCGAAACGACACGAGTGTCTAAAAGACATCTGTGTGACGTCTTAATATCATCTGGGTTAAACTGATGCTCTTTAATTGCGTAGCATTTCGTTGTACTCTCCAAAATTAATTCCATTAGCAGCTTCGATATTTCGAATAAGTCGTCAAATGCCGAATTATACCGAAGTTTTGAAGCTTCGAAAATGAATAGTCCCACTAAAAATATCAGAAGTCAGCTTCCGAAGGGAAAAAAGAAAGAGATATGAATAAAAGAAATATCACATGTTGCATTTGACATTTGGCATTTGACATCTCGTTGGATCCTGTTATGTTCACCGGCGACCAACGTTACACGAGATACTACTGTATCT